CAGGGAGAAAAGTGCAACAGTGAATGAATGGAAATTCAAAGTCTCTGCAAACTTTCATTAATAGTAAAAAAAAGTCCCAAAATGATTTAGCTCTGAAAAATCAGCCACTGAAAATTCTATGGGGCATACTTTGACAGATATGTTGCTATTGTTGTTGCTTGTGCCACCGCGTCAACATGGGGTTTCCAAAAATTGGGGTCAATGCAATAGTAACCGGTTAAGAATATGGTGGTTATTTTTAGGAAATACTGAAATGGAATTAGGATGTTATTATGAGTCGTAGGTGACTCCTTGGTACAAAACAACAACAACTTGGAGGTCAGTGTCATGAAGTCTGCAATTTCATTTATAAGAGTTAAAAAAAAAATTAAAGAAAAAAAAAGAGTTCATAAAAAAAAATACTACACATGGACAAAGCAAACATAACAAAATAGGAACTGTAGAATCTGGGTCATAGATATGTGGGTGAGTGCCATACTATTCTTTCAGCTGATCTCAAAATTCTAATACTAGTTGAAGGCATACTTACGAGCATTCCTCAAAGACTTTCACTCTTTCACAGCCCTCAGGAGGTTCCCTTTTGAACATGTAACTGTTGTTAGGTTTAGGAGAAGTTGCATATTTGGGCAAAGGAGAATTGTTTCCATTTTCTGGGGGGGAAAAAAAAAGGACACAATAGATAATTAAGAAATACTACAACATAAATACACTATCTATACCATATGGTAATTGCTCCTGGCCTCCCTATCTCTGAACTACCTGATGGTAGAAAGTGTTTTATTCATCTCTATTACCCCAATCTCACAGGAAAATCTCATTCCTTAGGAGTCAAAACTGACTCACAGTTGATCCTCCAGCAGGTTTTCAGAGGCTATCAATTACAAAGGAGAACACTGTCTTATCAGGGAGTACCTGGTAAATTCAGTCTGCCTGATTCTAAGTTGGCAGCACACCTCTTTACTCAATAGGCCACCAGAGTTACCAAAGAGTAATCTAATTCCTGACTGGGGGGTGAGAGGGGGAGAAGAAAGCTAATTGATCTTTGTTAAGTAAATGCATTTATTAATAAGGGATGTTTATTCCTTCTTAACGTACAAAGATATATTGGTTTGATTACAGAGTTTGTATAACTGTTTTTCACACTGGATATTTCCTTTACTCACCCCTCCCTCTACTTATCAAACTGTGCAACACTATGATTACTCCCCTGCTCATCCTCATCCCTTTGCTCCTACCCTCCCCCACTTTGGATCCTCATACACATTTTACTACTTATCTCTTTCAACAATAATGGTCTTATAGATGGCCTTATGGGACTGAGTTAGTTCACTTAGCATAATGCTCTCCAATCTCTCCAAAGTTTCAAAATCATTGCTTCTGCATGCAGTGTAGTATTTCACCATGTGAATGTACCACAATTTTTCAATCCACTTGACTGTGGTTGGACATTTGGGTTGTTTCCATATTCTTGCAATGGTGTATATTCCAAGCAGTGGAACAGCTCGGTCATCTTGGTCATATGGAATTTCTATGTACTGCTTTTTGAGGAAGTGCCAAACTGCCTTCTAGAGTAGTTGTACCATTAACAATGTATAAGAGTTCCTACCTCACCACATCCTCTCCAACATTTATTATTTGCTGTCCTGTTAAACTCTGCCACTGCTATTGGAGTGAGATGGTACCTCACTGTGGTTTTGATTTGCATCTCTTATTGCCAGTGACTTTGAGCAATTTCTTCATGTGTCTGTTGGCCATCTCAATACCTTCCTCTGAAAATTCTTTCCATATCTTTTGTCCATTTTGTAGTTGTGCTAGCAGACTTTTTCTTGTCTTTGTAGGATTCTATAAACATTTTTTAGGATACTATAAACTTTTGATATGAAACCTTTGTCTGAAATGGTATTGTCAAATGTTTCTTCCCAGTCAGTAGGTTTTCTTTACACTTTGTTGGATAATGTTTTTGATGCACAAAGGAATTTAATCTTTAAGAGGTCTTATCAATTTTATCCTCTCTTGTTGTGTATTTCTGGCTGCATCTATCAGCCTTTTTATAACATGGGTTAGGCCTTCTTAGCTTGGTCCCACTTTGTCTCTTATAATCTTTTGGTTTGGGGTTTATCCTTAGGAATCTGATCCACCTTGTGTTGGTTTTTGTGTATGGTAGGAGGTGTGCATCAGGCTTCAGCTTTCTGCAGGTAGTATTCCAGTTTTTCCAGCATTATTTGTTGAAGAGGTTGTTGTTTCTCCATTTGATAGGTTTTGTTTGTCAAATATCAGCTGACTATAGATGTTGTTGTTGTTATGTGCCGTCGAGTCGTTTGTGACTCATAGCGACCTATAGTCTATGTCTGTGTATGTACAACACAGACTATAGATAGATGGATTAATTTCTGGGGTTTTTTATTCTATTCCATTGGTCTATGTGCCTGCTATTATATCAGGACCATGATGTTTTGGAAATCAGGAAGTGCTATGCTTTCCACTTCATTCTTGTTTTTCAGAAGTGCTTTACTTATTTAAGGTCTCTTTCCTCTCCAAATAAACTTGCCAATTTCCTTTTCTATCTCTCTGAAAAATCAATTTGCTACCTGTATTGGGGATGCATTAAACATGTAGACTGATTCTGATAAGATTGTCATTTTTACTATATTGAGTCTTCTTATCCATGAACAGGGAACATTTTTCCCTTTTTTTTTTTAAGTCTTTACTATGTCTCACAGAAGTGTTTTGTAGTCTTCTTTGTAAATGTCTTTTATGTCTCTAGTTAGATTTATTACTAAGTTAGATTTATTACTAAGTACCTCAATGTGTGGTTGGTTTTTGTAAATGGTACTGCTTTCTTGGCTTCCTTCTCTGAGTTCTCTTTGTTACTGTAGAGGAATTTCACTGGCTTTTGTATACTGATTTTGTATCCTGTCATTCTTCTAAATTGGTCTAGTAGCTCTAACAATTTTGGTAGTTTTGGTTTTTTTAGTCCTTGGGGTTTTCTGTATACACTATGTCATCTGCATATAGCGACAGTTTCACCATCTCTTCCAATCTGGATGCCTTTTATTTCCTTTTCATATCATATTGCCTAGCAAATACTTCCAATACAACACTGAATAGGAGTGTGTATCTCCTTTTCTTTTAGTACTGAATACTCATCTAAATCACAGCACATTGCTATTTGGCAAACACCTAAAAGACTCAAATATCACTTCCATTTTTCCTAGTCTAAGCATCTCAAATGCGTCATTGGTTTGCATAGTTTTGTACTGCTTTTCAGAATGTTGATTTCTCTGCTCCACTGCTTACAGTCTCTGCTCTAGATAGCCACAGGCTTAAGACTTCCCTTTGCTCTGGAAATTTCCCTTACTGAAAAGATCCTTCTCTGTTCTTCAGAATCTAACTCAAAAACTTTCACATTTTTTCCCCCAAATTAATCCTGAAAGAAAAAAAATCTATTTCATCTGGAGAACAACCACTTGGCCAACTGACTGGAAGAGATCTATATCTGTCCCCTTTCCAAAGAAGGGTGACCCAACTGAGTGTGGAAACTACAGAACAATCTCATTGATTTCACATGCAAGCAAGATTCTACTGAAGATTATCCAAAAATGACTGGAATAGCACATCAGCAGAGAACTGCCAGAAGTCTAGGCTGTGTTTAGAAGGGGTCGTGGTACTAGGGATATTGTTGCTGATGTTAGATGGATATTGGCTGAAAGCAGGGAGTACCAGAGGAATGTCTATCTGTGCTTCGTTGATTATGCAAAGGCGTTTGACTGTGTGGATAACAAACTGTGGCTGACTCTGAGAAGAATGGGAATCCCAGAACATTTAATCGTGCTAATGCGAAACCTATACTTGGACCAAGAGGAAGCTGTCAGAACAGAGCAGGGTAACACTGCATGGTTCAAAATTGGGAAGGGTGTATGCCAGGGATGTGCCCTATCTCCATACCTTTTCAACCTGTATGCAGAACAGATTATCCAAGAGGCTGGGCTCTATGAGGAGAAGTGTGGCGTCAGGATTGGTGGAAGGTCTATCAACAATCTGTGTTATGCAGATGACACAACCCTGCTTGCCGAAACTGAGGACCTCATGCACTTGCAGCATAGGGTCAAGGACTGCAGCCTTCACTATGGACTGAGGCTCAATGTCAAGAAGACAAAGATTCTCACCACTGGACCAATTGGCAGCGTCAGGATGGATGGCGAAGAGATTGAGATTGTTCACAGCTTCAGTTTGCTCGGCTCCACAGTCAACACTCTTGGCACCAGCAGTTCGGAAATCGAAAAGCGTATCGCAATGGGAAAGTCTGCCGTTAGGAACCTCTCTAAAGTACTCAAGAGCAACGGTGTCTCTCTGGAGACTAAGGTGCGCCTGATACAGGCCATGGTCTTTGCAACCACTTGTTATGCATTAGAGAGTTGGACAATGACTAGGGAAGATAGAAGGAGAATTGATGGAGAGGGGCATCATTCTTGGGAGGGTGGAGAGACAGCGCAGGAGGGGAAGACCCTCTATGAGGTGGATTGATTCAGTGACTGGGGTAATCGGGATGGGCGTGTCAGAGGCAATGCGATTGGCACAGTATAGAACAGGGTTTAGGGCTATTGTACATAGGATCGCTATGAATTGCAAACAACTCAATGGCACATAACAACAACAACATGATATTACTTTTTACTGTGTTTCCTCATAGTTTCTATTACTTAAAATCCTTGAACAACCTTGTGGTGCTAAATTTTTCAGTCTGTGTTAGCTAAGCTTTAGATTTCTTGATGGCAGTGGCATTGTGGTTTTTTCTTACTATAGAAATTCATAAGAGCCAGCCACTAAACTCTCCACTAAAGCTGAGTCAATCCCAACTCATAGCAATCCTACAGCACAGAGTAGAACTGCACCATAGTGTTTCAAAGGCTATAAATTTGTACCAAGGCCAACTATCACATCTTTCGCCTGTGGAGCAGCTGGTGATTTTAAATTGCTGACCCCTGGATTACTAGTTAAGCTCTTTAACCAACAAGGCTCTTTAACTAGACAGCAAACCAAAAAAACCCCCTCCCAAACCCAAAAATCTCAAACTCATTTCTATTGAGTCAGAACTGACACGTAGCTGACCCTCCAGTGGGTCTCCTAAAATTAAACATGGTTGCATACCACATTTACAGTTTGTATATATGTGTCGCAGACATGAAAGTAGAAACAAAGGGGTAGATTTTAATTGTTACATTTTATTTGACCTAGTTAGCTAAAAAAAAAAAAAAAACAAAACAACCCACACACACCAAAGTCCAAATAGTTTTCAACTGCCCATAATTTAAGTTATTCAATAAATTTTAAGCCCTCTACACTTTTTAGTGTTGCCAACTCAGAGCCATGGAGTTAAAATCTACCAGCTACTCTCTGTAAGAGAAAGATGGGCAATTTCCTTCCATGCAGTTAATTGCCTCTGAACACCTCCTGAAGAGTCAGCTTTGGGTTGGTTCTGACTCTACAGTACACAACAACACTTGCCACAGTCTTACTGGTTTAGGTGATTGGGTTTTTTTGGTTGAGTATCGTTGAGTCATAAGCAACCCACAGGTGACCCTCTAGCAAGTTTTCAGAAACAGTAAATTGTTCAGGAGTTGACTGCTCATCTTTCTCCTGTGGAACAACTGGTGGATTCAAACAGAATGCCTTAAGGTGATTACTAGTGGTCAATTAGGATGGGCAATCATAATGCTAGAACATTTAACACAGTGCATGTAGTAGGTCTACATAAATGACTAAATTCAGCTGCAGAATTAACATATAAATTCATATAGATTCTGATATTATTGTTTTCATATAAGTGCAATAACCAGAATTAGGTTAACAAAATATTGTCTTAAGAGCTCTCTAGGAGAAAGACGAGCAATCTTGTGATTCATTGCCTATGAAACCCACTGGAAAATCAGAATGAGTTGATCCTGATTTGATGGTACACAACAGCAGTAATATTGTCTAACATAGACAGGGCACAAAAGGTTTTATTTTTTAAAATTATTTTGTGTGCATGTACCGTCAAACGGATTTGACTGGTACAGGAGATTGTCCTTCCTTTTCCAGCAGAGCATCTGGTGGATTTGAACTGTGTTTCTCTGGGATTGCAGTGCAGCTTCTTGCCACTAGGCCACAAGAGCTCCGTGGCACAAAAGGTTTTAAAGATAAGAATTTTTTAAATTATTAAGCTATCATGTTCCCAGTCTATATTTTAAATTTGCATAAAATAATTATCTTTAATTTTTTTACATCAGACTTTCTTTGAATACTCATTCATAGCAAGAAAAGTCAGTTTAATCTTTGTTAATTTATCAAAATTAAAGACTCTAAAAAATAGTAACTTAAAGGCTTTGCATTCAATGAAATATTCTCTACCATTGCCATTGAATTAAAAAAAATACAAAGCTGACCCTCCAGAAAATTTTCTAAGGCTGTAAACTGCATGGGAGGAGACTGCCCATCTTTCTCCTACCAATGAAATATGTTGTTGTTAGGTGTCACTGAGTCGAGCATGACTCACAGCGACCCTACAAACAAAAAGATTTTAACCCTATTCTGTCCTGTACCATCCTCACACTTCCTGACACACAAGAGCCCATTGTAGCAGTCACCATGTCAGTCCAACTGGTTAAGGATCTTCCTCTCCTTCGCTGACCCTTCACCCTTCCCAGCATCAGGTCCCTCTCCAAGGAATAGCAACATGTCTAAAGTCTTGTCTCCAAAGAGCACTCCGGCTGCACCATCTCCAAAACTTATCTGTTTGTCCTCTTGGCCATCCATGGGATGTTAAGGTAATAAAAATTGTTGAGTAGTAAGCTGACAAAGAACAAAATGTTTTCCAGAACAAATGTTCATTTTATTTATACTAAAACAAATGTTTTCTCCCTAAATAGGAACTTGTAATTAAAACTGCTAACCAAAAAAAGTATAAATAAAAATTTATAAATCACTCAATTCAATCACTGCCTAAATTGTAATAAAAGTTTTCATTTGGACTCTAGGTTAGTTTGCTTTTTTAAAAAATTTTATGTTTTGAACACACTGCAAAGCAAATACCTGAGTGTCTTCAAGTATATGTATTCTGTAAGAAAAAGAATAATTATAAAATCAGTGGTGTTTATTATCATCTAGTCACAAATTCCTCCAGGATTGTACCTTTATCCCTAGGATCAACAAGCAGGTCATCAGCTGAACAAGGACTCTCCTCGCTACCTTCATTGGAGATGGTGAGGAACGACGTGGGGGACACTGACTGAGATCGGCTGCTGTTGTTGCTCCCCTTGTCTGCCCCACCAGGTGTCTGGGTGTCAATGCTGCGTGTGCTGCTACTTCTCTGCACAAGAGGTGGAGGTGCCCGATGACCATCTGGAATATCTTGTGGCTGTTAAAAAGGTTTTTTTTTTATTATATTAATTATGTTTATCACTGATTTTGAAATTCACCCAGAAATGCACACAATGTCAATCTCTCTCTGTACTCTCAGATACACAAATCAGAAATCCTCTCCTACTTACAAAAGGATTGAGAAACAATCTTTTGTGGTGCTCTGCTGTCTATTCTGACACCCCTACTAGACACTTAGCAGCTGGGGACAAAACACATTCTTCCCAAGGCTTGATCTGTAGAGGCACCCAGTAGCCAAATGAATAAATTACTTAAATCATTTACCATAAGCTAAATATTATGTTACAAATTACCAAGGAAAAGCAAGTAAAAAAGGAGAAATTTAGGTGTAACACTAGATTTCACATTAATAGCAAGAAAAGTTTTTTATTGTGTGAACCACTGATACTTGAAGACTGTCTCCTTGTTACTTTTCTCTTCCTGTCTACTTAACCCTAAAAGAGTTTTTAAATACTACTTTCCCAAATGAAGGAAAAGCTAAGCACAGCAATGCTAATTATAAGGGATATCAAAGGAGACAATTATTTCATCTTCTTGTAGCTCTTTTAGCAGAAGAATAATCTCTATAGACATTTGACTCATTTACTTTTACATCAAGGAAAGTTTCTCTACTATGGAGAGTGTAAAGAAATAAAGATGTGGGAACTGTGTTTTCTCTATGCTAAATTAGCCTTTTATCTTAAGAGGAGAGCATAACAATAAACAAAAAACTACTTGAAATTTAATTCCTCTTTCACTAAAGAACGGAGGCTTAGAAAAACATATTCTTCTGACATGATTTTTAAATCTAAACACAAATTCTTCTTACTGTGGCTTACTGTGAATTATGACTCATTAAGAATGATTATGAATCATTTATTCTTACATGCAGTCTAGTTAATAGAAAGGGTAAGGAGAAGACAGTTTTTAACTGTCCTTGATGATGGTATAGCCTAGCATGCCAACTAAATAGTAACTGAAAACCAAACAATAAACATGCATTCATGTTTAAAAAGTATTTTACATCATATTACACCCCCTCCACTTATCCAAAAAGTAATGAGCTAAACATTTGTTAAATGGAGCTATAGTAAATGACAAGTAAATCATTGCCTCTCTAGTGATATATAAATACATATAATAAAAAAAATCCCAATTTTAAAAAATTCCAAATTTAAGTCCAATCAGTTGCCTCTATAAGATGGAAAGAAATGAAAACTTTTTATTCACTTGCCAAGGTCAAAGATTTTTCAAAAGAGATAAATTTTCTTTCTCTCTCAACGAGAAGAAACCTAAGTAAATATGGAAAACAAAATATAAATATTGCAATAATTAGAAGAGTTTATGTTTAAAGTTTATTTTAAGAGACAAAATTCCTTACTATAAGTTGTTCTTCCTTTTCCCCAGTTTCTTTAATTATTATTTCAATCTCCTGATTCAGTCCTTCCACACTATTCCGGAACCGGGAGCCTGTTGATTTGGTGATGGGAATGACTGGAATAAGTGCACTCTTTGGAACAGGAGCCTTGAAAAAAGGGATAAGGAGGGGAGAAAAAAGATTTACCATTGCCTTTTAATTTTCTAGACTGAAGCATACTCCCAGTTGGGAAAATAACTCAGAAATAAATCAAGATGCAACTTAAGAGTTTGCATAAAAAGTGTTAAGTTACCAAATATGCTCCTTATGAAACAAAAATATGAAACATAAAATTATAAAACATAATTTTAAATCAAAATCCCAGCAATTGAGGTAGGATTTCAAAAGTCTGTTCAGATCTGTGAGAGAATGGAAAAGAAGTAAGGACAAACGATAGAAATTTTTTAAAATTAATTTTAATGAACATTTACAGAGATTTTGGATTTCCATGCATTCATTGTTACACTTTTCTTATAGAAATTATTTTAAGATCATAAATGAGCCAGACTTAAAAGTCCTCAAGTGCCACAAACTGTTTATTCCAGTAAAGAAACAAAAAATCTACTTATCAAAAAAGAAAATAAAAAATATTTTGGTGTAGAAATATATTTCTAAAGTCTAAATAAAGAGGGGCATGACTACACAAATATAAGTAACTTCTCCATGGAACTTATTCACTTAAATACTCTTCATTGTATTTGTTTTAGCAAATTTTGTTTAAGAAAGAAATTTGCCTTCTTTTTCAAAAATCTTATCACTATTTTTTAGAAATCTATCCACTGGCACAATAGTACTTAAAAAAGTACTAACTATTATATAGTTATAATGTACAGAATATTACTTGGTTTCCTAAAAAGATGCACAAATAAAATATGAAATTAAACATTAGTTATATCTGCCAAAATGCACAGTAACAATATCATAGATCAATGTGTGTATTTTCTTACTTTCTGAAGATTTAGAATTACCTGACCTCTCATTTTAGGGAAGTTTCTTTGAAGCTCTTCTCTTAATGAGGGAGGTGAGTAAGAGAAATTAGCAGAACTTCCAAGTAAGTATCACTGCTTTTGCCTTGTTCCATAACACAGAAATTCATGTCAAACTTGTATTTATTTTTTTTCTTCTTTTTTTTTCAAACTTGTATTTCTAAGAAAGAAGACTGTTCTTGAGAGTTTAATTCTTTGAGAATTTGAGAAGTACTTCAACTATAGTTTGACAATGACAGTGCCTATTGTTGAGAATGCTGCCCTCAGAGTGTAACTTTTTTTTTACTTCAAAGAAAAGCCCCTTAGTTAAGTGTTCTTTTTTCATATGACTCTTCAATAGGGGAAGAAAATAAAACAGACAAAATATAACTAGCAAAAATGCTGCATCATGATTGAAACATGTTCTCTTCCACATCTGATTGTTTCAGTCACCACTGTGTGTTCAAGTTAGCAGAAATGAGGAAGACAAAATTTGCCTTTTTTAAAAAATAAAAGAACCCCAAAAAGACAAACAAACAAACAAAAAAACCATAAAAAACTGTATTTCTAATCTGTTACTCCTGCTCATCTTTTTTTTTTTTGGCTTAAAACAATAGTTTATTATTATTGTGATGACTATAGATATATAATTTAGCACTTAAGCATTGATTTTATAAATTTCATTATCTTTTAGGTGAATGTTTACACAGCCAATTCGCTTCCCATTCAACAATTTATACATTATTTGTTCTGTGCCTGCTCATAAAAATTTTAAAAATAAGCAAAATGCAACACCAATCGTGAAAAATTAAGCAATATATATCCATGTTTATTGCTGCTTTGTTCACAATAGTAGAGAGTTGGAAACAACCCAAGTGCCCATCAGCAAACGAATGGAAAGTGAAGCTCTGGTATAGTCACACAATGCAATACTATACTTCATTCAAAAACCAGGAACTCAAACTATTATAAGAAATGGGTGACCCTGGAGGACATAATGCAGAGTGAAATATCTCAGTAACAAAAGGACAAATACTGCATAGTGCTACTGTAGTAAAACAGGACTGACATCGGGGTTGGGGGGAACCTAAGAAAAGAGGGAATAAATAACGTATACTGCATTGAAACAAATGAGGAGAGAACTGTTTAAAAGGAATATATGATTAGGTATTATTTTCAAGACAAGAGTTCAGAATAAGAGCTGCATAGTAAAGTGGTCTGTATGTATCACTGTATGAAATACCAGTATGCTTTGTAAACTCTCACACAAATATCATAATAAAAAAATTAGTAGTAAAAATTAACATATTATTGAAATGATATTTATAAAGTATCTGACTCTCTAGGACTATTTTACAAAACTCTCTATGTGGGAGAAATACTGAAGTATTTAGGCATAAAGGCTATGATGTATGCATTTTATCCTCAAAAAGTTGGAAACACATACACACCCCCATGAGAGAGAGAAATTTATCTGAGATAAAATTAAAAAAAAAAAAAAACTATGTAAAAAATTTAGCACTTAACTTTGGATTTTTCTTCTCTTTAGTTCTCTGCCTTTAATACTGTGAAGCCAATAATTTCCCTGCTTCCCATGATCACCATCAGCAAGCAAGCTAGTACTGGTTCATCTTGTGGCTGACTGGTAACATGATGGGACACGAAGAGGAAGGCCAACCCTACAGGCTAGCCATGCCTTCTAATAATAAGCATCTTCCACCCTTAATTCTAACTCCCATTTTAACTTCTAAGAAATATTACCCAAGCGTGTCAATGAAGTTGGCTCTGCCATGTCTTAGTTATCTGTACGTACATTAGGTGTTGTTATTAAGTCAACACCAGCGCACAGCGAATCTATGTACTATAGAACAAAACCTTGCCTAATCCTGTGCCATCTTTGTAATCTCCGCTTTGCTTAAAGCCATTCCTGCAGTCACTGCTTCAATCTTCTCATTGAGAGTTGTCATCTTTTCCATTCACACTCTATTCTTTCCAGCACGGTATTCTTTTCCATGGTCTAATCTCTCCTGATTATGTGGCTCAAAGCACGTGAGACAACGTCTTACTCTCTTTATTTCTAAAAACACTCTGCTGCATTTCTTCCAAGATAGAATTGCTTGTTCTTTTGCAAACCATGGTATATTCAATACTCTTCACCAATACCACAATTCAAACACCTCAATTCTTCAGTCTTTCTTATTCAATGCCCAACTTCCACATGCATATGGAACAACTGAAAATAAGGTGGTTCTGGCGTGCCTTAGTCTTTAAACTGATATCCTTGTTCTTTAGAGATCTTTGGCAGTAGATTTGCCCAGTCCAGCACAATGTCATTATATTGCCATTTATCATGTTGTTTTATTAGTTAAGCATTAATGATTTTTTCCTTATGTTGGAGTATGATCAATACTGAAGCCTACAGTCTTTGATCTTCTTCAGTAAGAGTTTCAAGTTCTCTTCACTTTCCATGAACAAGGTTGTGCCAACTGCCTATTATAACTTATAACAAAAGAAGATTATAACAAAGAAATCTAAATTTAATCCTGATGTCACAGTCATATTCATGTAATCAACTTCTGAAATTATTTGCTCAGTGTATATTCTGAATAGGTGTGATCAAAGGATATAGCCGTGATGCATACCTTTCCTGATTGTGTAAGTGCCTCCAAAACAAATAATAAGAGAAAGTGGATGATACGAATAAGTGTGTAGCGTCAAAATTGGATGAATACTCATCAACAGCATGTGTTATTTAAGTAACATAACGTTGCTTGTAAAAAATGAAGAGGATTAAAGCATTTGCTGAAAAAGACTAGACTACAAACATCAGCCTGGATTATGCATCAACCTTAAGAAAACAAAAATCCTCACAACTTGATCAATAAGCAACATCCTAATAAATGGAGAAAATATTAAAGCGGTCAATTATTTCATTTCACGAGAGCGATGCAGCGCCAGCGAGATCGATGCAGCGCGAGAACGCTGCTGCCAGACGGGAGAACGCTGCCGCCAGACGGGGTTCCACCGTGAGAGGGGCCTGGAAGAGACCCGGGAAGAACA